GTCCTAGTTTAGAGGGTACGACATCATTATCCCTTTCAGGCCAAGCTTCCCACTTTTACCCCCTCCCCTTCCCCCCCCCCCAACAAACTTAAATAAATCAATGACCCAAAAAAGAAAGGAAGGAATGAAAGAAACTAAGAAGGAATTTAAAAGGAAAAGAGGAAGATTTATTATTAGTAAAAATTAAAATTATGAACACCAACCAACAATATCTAAAACTACAATATTTTCATACCCGTCTCTTCGTCCATCTTGAAGAAGAACCTTTGAAGCAAAATGCCCAGCGATTGTCCACCCTATAAAAAATGATAATACAAAATAGTTAAATAACTAGATAGTATACCTTCCACTCCCTGGAGATTATAGGCCCTCCTCTTAGGGACATAGTCCCCAAGAGTTCGAAACTCAACAGATCTGCAGAACTGAGAAAAATATTCATTGCGTCAAATGCTAAAAATAAAAAGCAAGATGTAAGTTTCTAAAATCAATATTTCAAGGTTACAGGTGTTCGTGAAAAATTACCCACCCTCTTCTTTAAAATAACTTTGTTTCCCAAAGTAAAAAAAAAGTAAAAATTTGGTGAAGGTTAAATTAACCAAAATAGAAAAAAAATGGTTATATGATGTATATTTTCGTGGAATATTCTTTCAGCTGGTTTTAAACTGGTTTAACTATTATCAGAAAGTGTCTTACTCACTGTCTTAGACTGTTGCCCAGGTTGTTTACCGAAACGAGATTTAATTTCTTCAGACATTCAGGTTCTAAATAATTATCGCCTTGTTAACAAAAAATACTTGAATTCTTATATTTTCCAAATTTTGTTCAGTTGATCAGGTTTAAAGGGTGGTGTTGTAACTGGGGCATTGTCATCTTTGAATGAAGGGTCACTTGAAATTACGCTTATAAAAACCATACTAACTTTTAAAAAAGACTAAATGGATTCCGGGCTCTACTTTGAGATTTTTAAAGGCATAAATAAAAGTCTGAATGTATACACAGTGGTACGCCGCTATATCAATACTATCAGTTTTATAATTAAGTTTTGATTTTTTCAAATTACAGTTACAATTAAACAATAAAAAGCTGTTAATTAACAGATTCTTTTTGTTTCCATGTTCTAAAATTCTAAAATATATCATATCATATCATATCATATCATACAGCTAGGGATGCGTCCAACAGTTCCTTGACCTACAAGGGGTATGCCATCACAATCCCCTATAGGTGAAGGCTTTCCAGCCTGACATAGTTTAAACCTAAAGTCGGACATACCACCAAATTTGAGCCATGTCACCGGTCTGATTCCTTTTGTCAGCTAGTTGCCAAACAGTTGTATTAAATACATATTTAAATGCTGACAGAGAGAATCTCCCTCCCGGTTAACTGAGTGTTTAAAAAGGGTATTCATGAGTTGAAGTGATATACTTACTATAAAATGTTTTGAATAAGCTGAAATTATAAAATGAATTTAAGTGAATATTCTGTGAAATAATATGAAATGTAATAAATATGGGGGAATTATAAAACGATTGCATCCCTTAATACCGTTTATTTTAATTATTACATAATATATATCATAAGACTATCTTTACATGTTATAAGAATATAAATATACATGGACCAAAATCCAATTCAAATCATCCATATAATACTCAGCTTAATTATGTTACTAATTACAAAGAATAATTTGAACTATTTATTTAACCTGAAACAGGAGCATATATCCCAGGCTGCAACATCCCTATGCATCCAACCATGCTTTGAAACGCCTTTGCAAGGTATAATAACATGAGAATCTACTGGCAATTGGAAAAACTAATCAAGGATGAATGAGAAATCTATGATTATAGAATTTTTTCAATTTTTTAAACAACAAAGCACAGCAACAGAATTGAACAAACAAAATTTTACAAATGTTCTCTGATTAGTTACTCAGACGGAAGTTTTTAATGGTTAACCAGTGGCCCAAATAGGACTTTTGTGAGGGGGGGGGGCAAAATTTTATTTGTAGGTCTGTGTAGTTCTAAATAGTAAGTAGTTCCTGGCCGTAGTTAAAATATTTTGTCTATTCATAATTCATTATAGTCTTTCTAATTAAAGTCCCTCTGTCCTTGTTTGACAGTAAGGGGCCCATTGTAATTCTCATAAGAAGTAAACATTAAAACAGGTTTTTTAAAAGTATAAATTAAGATTGACTGACTTNGGGGGTAAAACTCGATTCGCCCCCCCTGGTTGCGCCACTAACTATTTAGAATCAGACACACCACTCTTTTGAAATGTCAATCATGTTTTGGTTTACATTTTGGGTTATCATACCCCTTGAGTGGTTACTTTTCTCAAAGGATCCGGGAAATACTTCGACACAAACCCTGGAAATAAGATCGTTCAATATAAATAATTATGATACTATAATTTCCACCAAACAAAAAGTACACAACCACAGTTATTTTGTTTAAAAAAGATAATTGTAGTATAGAATTTTTAGTATTTAGTATTCTTAAAGAATATAACTAAGGGTAGACCATTTGGAACTTTTATGATAAAAATGTTCGGATCCTTTCATGTTTTAATAGTAAAAAAATCAAACAAAAATGAAAGTTTTCCGGCACCTATATTTCCAATTTAGTCGTAGAAACATATTTTTGTTAATATTAATTAACTATATAGAAAAAATATTTGCTTTTAAAATATATTCATTGATTAATTGAAGTCATTTTAAATCATAAAAATCGGTTAAAAGTTAAAGGCAAAAAAGGACTTATGGTGGCTCTGCACCCCCTCCCTCATCCAGTAAAATAAGAAAAAATACCAAAGATCTTCTTGTCAATTGCAGACCTAATGGTGAGGTAGGTAACAGGGTCCTGAATTATTGATTCAAATCAAACTTTGATTATTTCAATCATGACTTCATAATTCATAATTTTCTAGGAAAATCTTCCCTTCTCCCCCCCCTCATTTGAATTACTTAGATGTTAAGTATGAATTGGGGGAAAATAAAATTACTCAATCAATCTTATAGTATATAAAAAATCTTAATTTTAATATTTTTTTACTTTAATGAAAATTTGAGAAATAGGAGTTGCGGAGGAAACTAAAGAAAACTTTATAGAAGGCCGTAGCTTGTAAAATTATTTCAATTTAGACTGCTTTTAATAGTAAATTCAGTTTTTGACTTCATCTAATAAATCAATAAATAATAAATCAAAAACCTTCAACTAAACAAAAAATGTACCGTTGGACAAGTTAATCTTTGTTCTGGATTAAAGTAGAATTTGACTTTATCCTCCAGTTCGCTAATGATCTCCTAAAGTAATAAAACGTTTTCCATTTTCTATTTTGACTAAGAAAGATCCCCCATTCTAGTTTTACAAAGCAAATACAATTTTCGGCTTGTATGAAATATATTCAAGGTTTTTTAAAAATTGCCAAGATAACAACATTTAACTTTTGTGAAAATCCACTTAAAAGTGCGTAAAAACTCATAAAACTCTACCGGAAGTTTTCTCCAGAACTTGTTCACAGCCAGCTCAGGGGTACTGCATCTTTGTACCTCATCCTCTTCATTTCTTGTTACATCAACTGTAGCATGAGGATCTAGAAAACGCTAAAAAATTAATTGGTCGTTTTTAAGTTCACTTTTTAAAAATAAAAGATCCAGAATTCTATTTAATTATTTTACAACCATGTATTTGTAATTTGTAATCACAGTTAGGTGGCCCGGTTTGCACCGGATTCTCGGTTTACAGTACAAAACATAATCCGGAATTTTGTTTCCATTTCCATTAGGCCGAAATGCTTAAGATCCGGATCCCAATCCGTTGAATCCCCAAAAATATTAATGCGAGAGATTATCAAAAACAAAAAAAAAATCTTATCGTTGAATGAGTAAATTAGTTTAAGCATAAAAATAAATGAAAGAAATAAGTAAATAAATTTTAAAAAATTTATGTTAAAGAAATCAGAAAATCATATAGAAATTTGAATGACCTTCATCCAGATCCATTTTTGTCCAGTGTGGATCCAGGATCCGGATCTGCATAAAAATTGTGCTCATAAAATGAAAACCGAATTTTTTTTTCAGAATGGAAATATAAATTATTTAACTTTATGAAAACTGAAAAGTTTCCAGCTTCCATTCCGTAAACCAAAAAAATGTCAAGGTTCCTTTCATTAAATCAGAAAAAATATCTTTAAGTAGTAATAAAAGAAACCCTAATTACTACAAATACCAGGCAAAAAGTCTTCTTCGACCGCATCCTTTTGAATTAGAGTTGAAACCTCAATAGTAGAAACATCAAATTCTGCAATTTCAATCACGGCTTTATCTATTTGGGAATTGGAACCCATCACCTCAAACAACACCTAAGAAAGCATCACTTACACATTAATCAAGAATTTCATTTTATTTTCTTTCATCAAAATAAATATTTGATTTAATTTAATTTAATTTTAAAAAAGGGAATCGGTATTTATTTACAGTATTTATTGAAATTGTTTGGTAAGCTATTGAGTACTGGTGGTATATGAACAGAACAAAATCATGGCTATAAATGGTTTTGGGTCTGACAAAATGATATGTGGTTCATGATGTTAGGCTAGATAGGTGTTGGACAATTTGATTGAAAAATGATTTTAAAATATTGAATAAAAAATTGAGAAAGGAATAAAGCCATAAGAAAATATCTTTACCATCTCTGCAGCTTGAACCTTGATTTGCACATCCACCCTGAATATTTTTATATTTTGAGAAACTAAAGACGAAAATTCAATAAACTAGAATTTATAGAGTCAAATTTCATATTTAAACCTTTCTCTGATTAACAATGACATAAATATTAAAAATGCTTTTTTATATATTTTATATATTTAATATTTATTTACAACTAATTCATACTTGATAAGACTAAGCTTTTAGTGAAAAGTGCATTGTCATAGTAGATTGAAATAGCGCTTATCTTTCCCCAGGGAAATAATTTTCTGATATTGACAAAAAAAACTTACTTTGCTCCGTTAACAGACCAGAAACTATCCACATCACATACTACATTAAAGACGCTGTGACCCACTGTAACTCTACAAATTATTATTAAAATTCAAAATAAATGCCCATGCATTAAGTAATTTTTGAGTTGATACATTTTATATTACATTTGTGTCAGTATACATTCAGCATTCAGAGAGGCAACATGGGGGGTATACACTCCTGCACGCAAATGGAAAAGAAAAAACGGAACTACAAGAAACATTGAAGGCCTACATTAATCTTTTAACGCTGTATTAACCTGGAGAATGGAGGTTTTTACCTAGATGGATCCAGATTTTACTACTGACAGCTTTAAATATAACAATAATAAGCCTGGTTAGCTGTTATTAAGTATCTGAACACGTCGGAAAGACGTTAATTCTTTTGATTGAATCTAGTTCTATCAAGGGAGCTCAGAACAGACAGGTTCTTATACTCAAGTTTCTTGCTGCTGAACTGTGTGGAATAAAACATGGAAAAAAAAGAAAATAATAGTGCAGAGCAGGAGGGGCTTCTCTATGCTTCTCTTCCCCCTCCCTTTTTCCTAAACAAGAAAAATGGAAACATAGAAAGTTGAAAACCAATGCACTATGAAGCCGGTTTATATTCTGTCGGCTGTAAGGAAATGATTGCTGTAGACGAGGCCGTATTCTGAAGCACTTCCCGAGATGAACTTACAAGAAGTTAGATTCTATGTTGATAATATTCACTCCATTTATAACCTTTCTTTCCCATTTGTAATTTTTAATGTGAAGATTTGACAATGTTTTTCCACAGAATTTTCAAACCCCGCTTTTATTTTTACCAACCTGTAAGAATATTGTGAAATATGTGTGTTGTTTAGTCAAACATATCTAAATCAGCATAAAAACTGCAAATATATCTGATATCTACAGATATCTTATCAGAAAAAAGAAGAAACATGCAGTCAGAGAGAAAAATTCACTGCTCTTTTAAAAAATTTGTTAACAAATTTTAAAATTAAAAACAAATTGTAAAACACGAAAAAAAATATTACATTTGTATCTTACTTTGTACAAAAAGGAAGAGGGGTTCCTTTCTTAATCTCGATGGTTGTTTTCTTCGCCTTGCCATTGAACACATACAGCCTGAACAAATTATTATCACAAGAAAAAAAAATAACTTTTTGACTAAAATCATGAATGAAGTACTTGTTTATTTATGAAGAATTTTATTCCTATTAATACTTACGGAATTCGAACCAGTGCATCCTCAGGAAAAGAAGGGACATCGTCAGAAAATGAGATATCGGAGCCTAAATTAAATACATCTCAGTTAAACTACTTTTTCAAATTAAAACCAAAAGTCTTGCCTGAATCAGACCAGGGCGTATTTCCAGTCATTGCTTCTGAAATGTATTGATGATTAAAGGAGAAATTTCCATGGAATTAACCTTGAAACCTGATAAAAAGATGTGGTTTGACTCAATAAGTGTCAATTTTAAATAACTTCTTTATTTCGTCTTCAAAGAAAGCAGAGAAAGTATAAATTGAAATTAAATAAAAACATGGGTTATCTAACTTTATTAACGGTACGATTGTAGATCAGGCATTAAAATTACGTTCACAGTTAGAGGTTGACAAAATATATAAATTAAGTGAGTATTGGAGAAGATTTGATGAAAAAAATGAATTGTTCCTTTCCAATAGGTTGTAGAACCTGCAGCAATGAACAGAATAAAACTTTTAAACTTATCTATAATAAAAGTTAAAATTATCTTAATTATCATAATAAAAGTTTAATTAAAAAATGTACAGCCAGTCTTTGCTTTTGCCTTGATTTTTACTTTTGAGACTTCAAGCTTAAAATTTTAATTTATTCTGTTTTTCCTGAAAGTTTTTTATTTTTTTGGCATCAACAATAATCAATGGCATCAATGATGTATCCGGGCAAGAAATAGTAGAAAAGTAATTCCATGGTGTTCTCACTGCCTAAATAGAAAAATAATAAATAAAAGTTTTCTTAAAAAACAAAACATTTGTTTTCATTCATTCATAATTGAAATTCGTTTTCTATCCTCTGCTGAAAAAAAAATTAAAATTGGTTTTAAAGATTTTATATATTTTGATTAAATTTGGATTTTGTACTGAATTCTGGAAGGTAAGTTACAATCAACATGAAACATTAAAAAATTCAATTCTTACCCTATATCTCTTAACAAGGAAAACCGGATTTCCACTAGCCTTGATGATTACAGTCAAAATCATTCCTATCCACAGCATATTCTCAAACTTGCTGTCAAGGATAATACACTTGCCTAATGAATAAATTTTAACTCGTTGTTGCGATTTTCATTAAAAAAGCAAATGAAGAGAGAATTAATGTATTTTAATGTATTAATGAATTTTGCTCAAAATTTATTCCTATCGAGTACTGGATCCCGTAGACTTCCACTCCTTTGGTTGCTATATCACCTTGAAATTTCCATTTTTAAGAAACTAGCCTTAGAGGGCGCTTCGCGCCCATCTTCTAAATTAATTGTGAACATGTTCTCTTTGTGTACATCGTAAAACAAAACAAAAATAATTCGCGGATTTTTACAAAAAATTTCGCTGATTTTCAAAATTTTTAAAAATTTAATGACTATTGAATTTTGATGGAGACAAATATTTTAAATTTTGATGATTTATAAACCTTCCCTGGAGTCCCTAGATGTCCCACAAAAAATTTGGGCCCGATCGGTTCAGCCGTTTTGACGTTTATTGGATACCAACAGACAGACAAACAGACAGACAAACAGACAAACAGACAAACAGACAGACAAGCCAAATTTATATAGATGTTAAGTTTTAAGGATGTCAAAAATGTCAAGAAAGACAACTAATGATCTTCTGAAAGGTAGACTTATAAAAGATAAGTTCATGAAAGACAATCTTGGTAATGACAAATTCCAGGACATACTATTAATAGTCAATTTTCTGGGAGACAAATTACAAATTACAAACTAAGAGCAGCCTAAAATTTTAGTTTCCTTCATATTTTGGATTTTGTTACAGTAAGGAAAATGTGAGAATATATATCCTTGTAATTATAACAAAATTAATTATAAAATGTAATCCTTGTTCAAAATGCTCAGCGCCTGGATGAGAAGATGGCACAGGGAAGCCTTTACATGTGAGTTTAACTCCATCAACATCAATTAATCCAGCATAGATAGCACAACCTGAAAAAAAGCTATACAAACACCAAACCAAACAAAATGTTTAGATTGATAGATTTTAAAATTAGTTTATATCACCGACATTATTTCCGGGAACAATAAAGATATGTTTCATAGTTTTTACAGTTAAAAACAAAAAAAAACTTCCCCAGGATCATACAAATTATAACATGGCCTGATCGATAGATGGATTTGATTGTTTTGTTGTTTATTAGAAACAAAGAGAAAATATGTCTAATAAATGCAGTAAGAAAAAAATCAGAATTTTATATTATAATTGTATTAATTTACCTTGACGGGTTACCATTCGGTTGCAGATTGTTGATGGTGTGTTTATAAAGTTTTTGGCAGATTCCATTACGTTTACGCTGGAAAAACAAAATGAAATTTACAGAAGGGTGATTTCTTACCCATTAGAAATAGCTTTAAGTAATTCATCCAGATTTGCACTTCAAAGGACTATAAGCGTAATTTGTAGTGACCCTCCATGCTAAAATAGTAATGTCCGATTTACAACCCTTAAAAGCTGATCTATTATAAATTAGATATCAATGCTTTTGTTTATTCTAAACTTTTTTTCCCTTTACAGTTTCTCTGCAAATCTCTCAGAAAATTCCCCTTTTGGAGTTATGATTACAGTAGCTTACACAAGGCGATGTTTAGATTCAAATCTAGTGGTCCAGGAGCAGGTAGGAGGACCATAGTGCCGAATTAAGTCTGTTAAAACAAAATTATGATGTTTGAATCAATGTACGTCAATTTGTGGCCCTCCCTCTTGAAATTTCTTTATCTTGTAAAAGTTTGCAAGTTTTTTCATCCTTTTTACCTGAAATTTTGTTTATTTCCCAGTTAAAAATCAGTTATTTTCCCCATAAAACCCCCCAAACAAAATTAAATAGGGGTTGATAATTTTTCAGGAAAATATACACCCCTGAATTAAAGAGAGTGTAGACCTAATTAAAACCTAAGCATCAGTGGGGAATAGATCGCCATTCTTTTCTCGCATAAAATTCTAATATAACTCATAAGTGAGAAACCCCAATTATAAATTATAAATTTTTAAATAGAAAAACAATGATTTTTCTAGTACAAAGGTTCAAAGGATACTGTAGTGAATTGGGCCAACTGTAACTTCCAGTTAATATAACAAGTCCCAAGTAGTCATTTCTTTGGTGCTATGGAAACGCCTCAACACGGAAACGCCTCAACACGGAATCGGACCCAAAAGTGAGTTTGGGTCCGTTTCCTTCTTTTTTCAAGAATTATCGGAAATCCCTCTAAAACTAGAAAGTGTAGAGGGATTTCCGAATATTTTGGGTCGGTTTCCGCTATATTTACATTTGATTCGTTTCCCGTTTTTTTGGTCCGTTTCCTCTTTTTTTTGGGTCAGTTTCCGGTTTTCAGAAAAGGTTTTAAACTCTCAGTTTGTTGATCGGTTTCCCCTTTTTTTGGGTCCGTTTCCTCTTTTTTTGGGTCAGTTTCCGGTTTTCAGAAAAAGTTTTAAACTCTCAGTTTGTTGATCAGTTTCCTCTTTTTTTGGGTCCGTTTCCGATTTTCAGAAAAAGTTTTAAATTCTCAGTTTGTTGATCGGTTTCCTTTTTTTTGGGTCCGTTTCCGATTTTCAGAAAAAGTTTTAAATTCTCAGTTTGTTGATCGGTTTCCTTTTTTTTGGGTCCGTTTCCTCTTTTTTTTGGTCCGTTTCCTCTTTTTTTGGGTCCGTTTCCGGTTTTCAAAAAAAGTTACAAATTCTCAGTTTGTTGATCGGTTTCCTCTTTTTTTGGGTCCGTTTCCTCTTTTTTTGGGTCCGTTTCAGGTTTTCAAAAAAAGTTTAAAATTCTCAGTTTGTTGATCGGTTTCCTCATTTTTGGGTCTGTTTCCTCATTTTTTGGATTCGTTTCCGGTTTTCAAAAAAAAATGTAAATTTTCAGTTTGTTGATCGGTTTCCTCATTTTTCGGGTCCGTTTCCCGTTTTAAAAAAAAAAATCCAAATTTTTGTTGATCAGTTTCCTCATTTTTTTGGTCTGTTTCCTCTTTTTTTGGGTTTGTTTCCTCTTTTTTTGGGTTTTCTGGTTTTCAAAAAAAGTTGTAAATTCTTAGTTTGTTGATCGGTTTCCTTATTTTTTTGGGTCTTTTTCTGGTTTTCAAAAAAAGTACAACAATCTCAGTTTGTTGATCGGTTTCCCTGTTTTTTCGATCCTTTCCCCCATTTTTGGGTCTGTTGCAGGTTTTCAGAAAAAGTTGTACTATGTAAAATAATCATTTATGCATAGTATTTAAATAGTATAATTCTTTTTGAATAAAATGTGAAGTTTAAAAACTGAAATATAGATTTACGGAATAAAGTTTTAGATTGAATGCAATATTACACATTAATATATTTAAGTCGAGAACTAACATAGGTGGTTTCATATTTTATACGGGGGGGTGGGGGGTTAATAGTGCTAATTTATTTGTTCCCCCCCCCCGTAAACTTATAAAACATTCCTCCCCCCACTCTAAAGCTAAATAGTTCTAATTACCACCCTAACCGTACTAAAACGTACAGTTTTCTTTACCTTTAAAAACGGGTAGGCAAAAATTGTCTTATTAATCCATTTATTTATCTAACAAAATATTATAGATTGATACATGAAATCAAATTAAATCAAATCAAATCAAATATTTATCATGAAGATTTCAAGTTTATACAAAATAAATGTAATAAATTCCAGTCTCCCCTGAACTATCTCAAGTACACAAAAAGCTCTCTGTCTCTATCTTCTCTACCTTGCTACTCTCCCTCCCTCAAAAATCACAACTAAGCATCCCATGACTCCTGAGCTCCTTTAGGAACTAATTTACTTGACTTGATTCATGTGTGCTATCTCCAGCTTGTAGGGATTTATGGTTAATTTGTGATAAACAATATTTATCCAAACAAACAAAGATTACACAGATTTAACCAACATGAATCTGGAAATTGTGCCAAGTGAGTAAATAAGCTATTCATAGAATGTGTAAACAAGACCAATTTGGTTGTTTGGTAGAGAACTGCAATTACTGAGAAACAACCTGGACTCTTGCCAGGGGCGGATACAGGATTTAAGTGAGGGGGGGGGCCAAAATTTTTTTTTGACTGAAAATACTCAAAAAGAGTCAAAATTAATGACTAAAGACTAAAAAACTAGATTTTTAACATTAAGGAACAAAATTAACGGATTAGAACAGGAATTTAGGAACAATTAAAAGATTGTTCAGGAATTAGGAACAAAAATNGACCCAAAAAATTAGGAAACCGATCAACAAACTGAGAATTTACAACTTTTTTTGAAAACCGGAAACGGACCCAAAAAAAGAGGAAACGGACCCAAAAAAAGAGGAAACGAATCAACAAACTGAGAATTTACAACTTTTTTTGAAAACCGGAAACGGACCCAAAAAAAGAGGAAACGGACCCATAAAAGAGGAAACCGATCAACAAACTGAGAATTTACAACTTTTTTGAAAACCGGAAACGGACCCAAAAAAAGAGGAAACGGACCCAAAAAAAGAGGAAACCGATCAACAAACTGAGAATTTACAACTTTTTTTGGAAACCGGAAACTGACCCAAAAAAAGAGCAAACCAATCAACAAACTGAGAATTTACAACTTTTTTGAAAACCCAAAAAATGAGGAACCGGATCGAAAATATTGGGAAATCCCTCAAAAATATTGGGAAATCCCTCAACAATATAAGACCCTGATAAACCGGAATCCGACCTAAAAATCGAGGAAACGGATCAAAAAAAAAGGGAAATTCCTCTAAAAATTGGATTTGAGGGATTTCCGATAATTTTTGAAAAAACAGGAAACGCCTCAAAAAAATTTATTTTGGGGAGGTTTCGGTTTTTTTTGGGCCTGATTCCGTGTTGAGGCGTTTCCGTGTTGAGGCATTTCCATAGCACCATTTCTTTACCTGGTACATGAATCAAGTAATGGTGCTTTGGTTTAATCTTGGGAAAAAATCCAGGATACTCATCATCAACTTTTATCCTTGTTAAATAAAGATTGTTTCCAAATATTTATTTGATAATGAGAATTATTTTGAAGAAAAGATTTAATAACTGTAAAAAATGCTCTGATTCTGTGTGTAGATTTTTCCTACTAACCTTATTGTAAAGTATTGAAAGATCAAGTCTTCTAGGACTTCAATGTCACTGGAGGAGTATGCTCGGCTGAGACACATTTCTAATATCCTCGCCATTATGATGAACATTTGAGCTACTTCATCCTAAGAAAAAAGAATATTGGGGGGAAAAAAATAAAAAAATAATGTTATCTTTGAGGAAGATTGTTCATAATGGGAAATAGTAATATTTAGTAAACTGTTAAATTATACAATTTAGTTAAAATTATCTTGTATAAATATTTTAAGACTGAAGCAATAAATCATTATAAAAGTTAAATTTTGTCATACCTGATCATTTTCCAGGTATGATTCCAATAGATATGGCACGATTCTCATGAACATTAAGTTTGCCATCGCTTTGCCAGGCAATTTTTCCCGTTTGGGTCTGGTTTCTTTGAAATAGCTTGGTCTTTCATCTGTTGAACAGTAGGGAAAGTTTCGAATTTCTGTATTCAACATCTCAATAGTTAATTTTTTTCTTTTAACAATAATTCTGACTCCAGCTGCTGAATCTTGTGAAATTCCCCCTTCTAATAAGTCATGAAATATATCATTTGGAAGTGAAGACACCGCATGAAATGATTTCAGTTCATTAAATATAGATTCAAATTTGATCTTTCCCTTAGTCTCCTCTGCTTCCTGCTCTTCTTCCTCGTCTTCTTCTTCTTCACTGTCTTCTTCTCTATCTTCTGCAAGATCTATTTCGTTATAAATTTCTTCAATTTCATCATCAATTTCATCAGCTATTTCATCACTTTCTATAATAACTTCTTCATCGACAATAACATTGGGCGCTACAGGAGCTTGCTGGGAGTTTTACTCGTGTAAATCGTTTGCCAAGGCATCATAAATTTCAACGCTCCATTTATGTTGGTATTTCTCCTGCTGAAACTTGCAAAGATCTTTGTGCTTGATCAGACAGAAGCGGCATATATATCCTTTATTGAAGTTAGTTTGAAAACCTCCAATGTGATGGCTTTCCAGGTTATCGCCGGAATAGATAAGCATGCCTGCTTTTACCAGTTTGCCCTTGATCAGTACTCCTTCCTCCAGGATTTTCAAATCATTGACAATATTGCGAAATATGTCCTGGCCAACTTCTTTGATCTGGTTATATCTGGCTGCCATGACAACCATAATGGAATCTAGTTTGCTTCGATAACGTAGAGGTAGATTTAAAATAGTCATGTATACCATGACCATTTTATGGGATGCTTTCGCGGCCCCCAAAGGGTTAGTGATCACTACACAATCGCTGTACAGTTGAATTTTGAGAGCATGAGGGTTTTGTGAAAAGAATGAATTTTCCTATAAAAAAAAAATACAATACAATATAAATGTCATTGTTCCCCCTGTTTGTCTACATTTTGTTATTAGTTATTTTTCTAAATTCAATGATTAAAAATCAATAAATAATTTTTCAGGAAAATATACACCCCTTAACAATATAGAAATTCACTTTTTGAGTCAGAAAAATTATGTTATCTTGAACATTTATGATCAGATAAAGGTTTCAAGGGTTGTAAATTTCTAGTTTAACAAATTAAGGCAATATAAATTCTAACCTTGTACACTGCTCCATCAGAAACATCACAGATTTTATCATCAGTTGGTTGGTCAGTTGACAGATGAATGGCTTCATTGAATGATGAGTCTTCTAGAAAAACTTTTAATGTATCAATAATCGAAACATATGTAACCACATTTTTGACTCCATTCACAGAAAGGTTTCTAACATTTGGATATTTAAAGTGCTCTGCTGAAAAGCTTCTTAGTTTGTATTTAGAGTTTAATGTTTCACATGCATCTAATGCATGACTAGATTGGAATTCATTTCTTGTTGCATCAAGTATAATCTGTGGTGTGCGAGCCTGCATTAAAATTCGGATGACGGCTTTTTCTTTCTCTTTTAAACTTCTTTTTATTTGAGATGACAAAGTGGCATTCATAACAAGGATTGTGGCCTCGGGTACGTAATGGTACACAAGCTGCCTATTAAGAAAGTCTGCATAACCAATTGTATATTCAGTAGCCAGAAAAAAAATATTGTGAAAGCAAATAAATCAAAAATAAAACTCCCACCTCCCACCTCATTATCATCCAAGGTAGCCAAATTTTCATCTTCATCTTCATCTTCTGAAATGGCCCAATCAATATGTTCCTCGCCTACATCTGTTTCTACACCAGCTTCCGAAATCCCATCTCTTATGGCGGGGTCATATACCTCAGTTTCTACTGGAAATTGCACCTAAACATATCATTTAAGATAAAGAACAGAAAAAAACAATATTCACTATCAAAATGTTTTTAAAAATTCACATTTGGCATTGTATTAAATGATAATCATGCGAAAACTTCTAATAGTTATGCAGTAGATTTGAAGAATTCATGTCAAATTAATAAGATTATAGATGATCCAACCTGAATTTTGCATTGTGGTTTAAGACTTGTTTCCCCTTTTGCCTAAGTGCAAAATGCTCAATTTGGCAAGTTCTTCATTCAAAGTTAAAAGTAAGTTTTTATATTATGAAGGTTTTACCGAATAACTGAATACAAAAGATATTTGAACATCATAAAATAATTATGGATGGTGGACTGCTAAAAAAGAAAGGAATACATATTTTCATAAAAATAAGCAAAAGAAAAATCAAAAAAAATATTTAATCTTGATGAAATTGCTCATCTCTAGTTTTGGATTCAGATCCGTTTTTTTTTTGCAAACGCAGATCTAGATCCTCACTAAAATGAAATGGATCTTTAGCACTTTAAAAATAAATAAATTAATAAATATTAGAAAGCTTTAAAATATTAAAAATCTTAGGAATGCAGACTTAAATAGAATTGGGCTTAATTTAATGAATTGTTTGGTTAAGCTCCCTTATGATATCTGTTTATATGTCTTGTGAGCCGAGATGCATCTGCAAACTCCTTCATGCAGTTCTCAAACATACGGCCCAGCTAAAAAATATGCGTCAAATAAAAAAAAATGAATGGGCAAATTTTCTGGTAGGACCTTACACGACCCTAAGGATAGTTCATGGTCGGTCCGCATTCTAAAACTTCTATAATCACGAGTTTACTAGTGGTTACAGTTTAAAACGACTAATTTAACTGGTACCTTTTCTTCAAATCTGTGGACATCTGAAAGGTGCTTCAATAGTGTAGGCAACCCAGATGCGATATATCCCCGACAGGAAATCTAGGCAGTAAACACAAATAAAAATATTTTGTAACAGTGGGTCTTCATTTAAAGATATGTTTGCCACTACTTATCTCATATATAAATTATTTTCCTGCAATCTTAATAATCAGATTTTAATGGAAATATGTTGCAGTCGGCGAAACCGGCCGGTCGAAAGGGACAATTTTTTTAGTTAACAATTTACCAAAAGAAAAAAAACTTGTATCAAATAAAATACTTATTTAGTTAATTTTTCGAATTATTTCTTTCAAATTTAGTGTTTTTGGGCGAAAAAATGTTATGGGTGATTGTATGATGTAATTAAGTATTTGATTCAACTTTGATTATTTAATTTTTAATGTTATTTTATTAAAACATTAAAAAATATATCTGAACTGTACTGAAAGCGTAATTCCATGCAAAGTTCACTCTCCACTAAACCACATTATCTTTGCGTAGTTATTCAGCTAATTGCAGTATGCGTCGAAATTTTAGTTTTGAGTGAGATGGAAATGCCCGATTTACAACCATTGAAACCATAATCTGATCTAAAATATGGAAGATACTGTCGATTTTCTGACTAAAAAGTATTTAATTCTGATAATTTCTACATTTCTTCTCATAAGCTTTCGCAGAGAAACCAAATATGGAAATGAACAGTTGATTTGACAAAGATTTTAAGTGATACCGTTGTAAATCGTGCATTGCATGATTGCATATTGGCTTGGCGGGTTACTTAAAATTACGCTTACAGTCCCTTTAACACTGATTATTTTTGAAGACCTGTAAACACTGTACTTCTCCCAACAGTTCAACAGGAACTTAAAAAATCTAAATTTATAATTTAAAATTTATGATTTGAGGTAAGTTAATTGACTCATTATAAATCCTCGGAAAATTGATAATCAAAAGTTATTTTACCAAAAATTTAATCGAAGTTTTATTTTAAATTTGTGAATGCAAAAATTCTACACATCATTTTTCTATTCTGTGATTTAAATCAAAGAACACCTTCCCACCATAAAAAAGTAAGTAAGTAAGTTCTGACAATTTCTTAACGGATTGCAATGAACAATGCTTATCAACATGTTTAGTCTATTATTTTTAGAACATGTGAACAGGGGGAAAGGGGGCGTGGGGGTAGCATAACCCTTATTCCCTGATGATTGACCCTCACCCAGTTGCAATGTTGAAAGCTCCCCCCCCCCACCTGAAGTGTTTTGACCTTTTGACTATGTAACACAAGTTCATTACCGGCTTGAGATCGATGGGAATGATTTCTAATGTGAGATTCCAGAGATCTTAAAATACAAAAACATTAGTTTAACAATTTATAATATTAATTTGTTTAGTTTGTTTAGAAATAAGAAATAATTATAAAATCTGGCATCCTGCCATAGTACCCCAGACCGCCCTGCATGGGGCCTCTATCCATCCCGGCTATCACACAAAATTCAATATTAATAAAATCAGAAATTTATGACAGTGCTCTGGCACAGCGATAAGATCAAAATCAAGAGCTATGTAAAATTCTATTTTCTTTGAAATTTATTATCCATTTAACCTGAGATCGTGAAGTTTAGCTGTGCATTTCCTAAACTGGCACAGAAGTCCTAAAATATACATTTTCACGCCAAACAATATCTAGTTTATATCTAACTGTTTAGACATTCTTTGAGATAAAAATTAAAAATTGGACAATAGAATAAGATTTTTTAAAAGAAAACATATACCCCTGTATCTTAACCATATATTGTAGCATACAAGCTTATTCTTTTATTTATAAAGTTCATCAATCATTAATTGATTCATAAAATATGTATCTATCCATTATTCGTTATTATCCATTATTATGCTTTTATTGTTTCTTCATTGTCAATTGTACATTACTCATATTTTTAAGTAACGTTGGATTGTTCGTCATTAATATTTTAATAATTGACTTGTTGAATCCAGAATCGCAAACATTTGCTAATCCTTGAATCCTGATCAAGGTTAAAAACTATCAATTTAATTTTTTGTTTAAATAGTTTTAAACTTGCGCAAATAAGAAATATTTATTTTAAGTTCAACTACTTAATACAAAATATATTTCATAATAATTTAATCGTTTAAACTTTTTACCTGCTTCGTGATTAGGATGGCATTTTCTAAGATGAAAAATATACAGCCTATGTCTGCTGCAATAAAATTGTAATTCATGTATTGAAATAGTAAGTGCTGAGGATCCAATTAATTTTGATACGGATCCGAATCCTGGATCCGCACTGAAAAAAAAGGATCCAGATTCAGGATATTTCTTAAAAATTTACCGAATTTATTAACAAAGCAAAATTTCGAAATTTTTTGTCTTATTTTTTTGGCTTATTTTTATGCTTAAACACTCGATGTAATCAGAAATCATGAAATTTTTATAATCTCTCTTTTTTCAATAGTTCAGACTTAGGTTTTGAGAGTAAAATTTTTTTTTTTAGTTTTTGGTTGATGTTTTGCCCCTTGGATTCAGATCCGGATCCAGGAAGCCAAAATTTTGCGGATCCAACAGATCCGGATCCTCAGCACTGGTAATAATTCAGTGCTTAGGATCCAATTAATTTTGATGCGGATCCGGAATATTTCTTACAAATTTACTGAATTTTGTTAAAAAAGCAAAATTTCCGTGTGTTTAATATGAAATTTTAAAATTTTCAATTGTGGAAATGTTTTGGGCATCCTGAGAATCCTGATCCGGATTCGCATCAAAATTTACTCTTTGCATATTAATCACCCAGAGCATCAAAATTTACTGGGAAGGGGAGATTTTTGCTTAAAACACAGCGCCATTGCTTGGACAGATTAGGGGACTGGGCACTGCAGCCACATGTCAAACTATATAAGTAGAAAGATGCACGTCAAAATAGATGGGAAATAGATGGGGGATGGCAATAATCATTCTCTATTAAATCATGACTGAAATGGTTAGTAAAATTCTACTTAAATTCCAGTTTGCACGCCGGGATGGAACATTTTAATTTCATTTCATCTGAAATAATAAAATATAACAAAAGATGGAAAATTCTCATGAAGAAATATAGCTTTAAATATGTTGATTTCAAAAATAAAGGGGAAAAGCAGAGAATGATCATAAAAGTAGGGGAATCATTATTGGTATTGGATACAAATAAATTCCAATTTTCCTCAGCAATTCTTACATTGGGGACTAAAAAGCGTAAATTAGACAAATATAAATAAAATAGAATAGTTTTTTTTTGGAATTTAATGGGTGGGAATAACAATAACTTGGTTACATCAAATATTGGGTAAAATCGGTCTAAGAGAAATCACTACTTTAGCATTATATTTTCATAAAATTTACACTATTCACAAGAAAAACTACGCAAAGTAAGATTACACAGTAGGGTTGAAGAGAAAATTCCTCAGTCTCAACTCTAGAATTACTTTTAGGTTTTATACGGGTCAGAGGGGGATTCATGTCAATCCTGTAAGTATCCTCCAGAGATCCTGGGAAGATGAGATCTCCGTGTCCCAAGATTTTTACCTCCCCCATCTCCATTACCACTCTGTTACACCCAAAAACCTGGTATCCAGAGCTGAAAACTTTAGAATGAAATATCCAGATATCAGATCAACCCCTTTATCTGGAGTTTAAATTCATGTGGAGAACAAGCAATATTTAAACTGGATATTAAGAAAAAGAGTGGTTTAAGCCTTAATCCTGATATCCACCATTCTAAAGTTTTCAGCTCAGGCCGCACATGGTCGAGACCGATTTTTCTTGTAACCTCGAGCTTCCAGGTTCCAGAAATATCACAAAAAAACACTTTGCACTCCAAGCAACCCATGTAAACCTAAAATAAAATTGAACAATTAAAGGGACAGACCATATATGTAAGGTAGTTGAACTGAGTGTGCAGTGTTGTGGACAAATTTTTTAAGATTCATTCTAAACATATTAAACTTTTTAAAGATCTGTAAATCCTGA